AATGAAGGTCATGGTGTGAAAGCTGCGCTGGGCCAAGGAAGAAGATGAAATAAAAGCAACACTATGGATGATGCTATAGGTTGAGTTTCCATCTCCCTGTTTTGCTGATGAACCTCATTTAAAGAGGTCCCACAATGCTGAGTGGGTAAGAGAGGGGTTCGGTCAAATCCAGGGCTCTGTAGGTGTAGGGATGAAATAAAGGCAAAGAGAACCTAAGACGTTTCATAGAGGACTTGGGGCAGCACTGCCCAAGAGAACTTTCTGCGATGTTGGAAACAATCTGTATCTGTGCCAGCCACCTGCTACCACAGATGCTGAGGACTGGAAATGGGACTAGTATAACTGAGGAATTGAATTTTAAATTTACTTAATTTTAATTAATTCAAATGTAAGTAGCCACACTGGACAGAACGGGACTAGAGAATCAAAAACGTTTATTCTTTAGATCAATCAACAAGGTCTGATGAGTAGCTATGAGTGCAGAACACTAAACAAGTAGACACTGGTTCTTTACTTGGTTTTTCCTAAGCAAGAAACAAAGGAAAAGAATCTAGAGCCCCTCATCTCCAAAAGCTAACAATATAATAGGAAATATTAGATTCTAGGGAGAAAAACCCACACACAATCTGGGAAAGAAGAGCCCTGAGTCCACAGAATGTCTGCACTACTTGGAGCAGTGTCTTAACCAGGTGACTTTAACAATGGTATTGGTACCGGCGGAACTGTTCTAGGGATAGGATCTCCAGGGAGAGTGAAACAACATTATTTTTCAAGTTGTGGGACAAGTAAAAAGCAAGGCTCATTTACCAGGTCTAAGAATGGGGCAGATGGAAGAGACCTAATATGTACTTCCAAGTTCAAGAGCAATAAGGTGGCCTTTCTTATTTTAAAACTTTTGATCAACTGGTTTTTCTCACTATGATTTCTCTTTCTTGTGAGAATGTATTTTGCTTATTTTAGAGACTTATTTTTATTTTTCTTAAGTTTACTTATTTTGAGAAAGACAGAGATAGAGAGAGGGAGCATGAGAAAGGGAGGGTGAGAGAAAGAGGGAGAGTAGAATCCCAAGCAGGCTCCATGCTGTCAACGCAAAGCCCGACACAGGACTCAAACCCATGGACCTTGAATCATGGCCGGAGCCAAAACCAAAAGTCGGATGCTTAACCGACTGAGCTACCCAGGTGCCCCTTTAGAGCATTATTTTTTAAAAAGGGAGAGAGATTTCCAATTCTAGTCTTAAAAAAAACCTGGGGCTCAATTTTCTCTCTAACTGAAATTACTGGCTAGGAAACACCCAACTTCGAGGCTCAGAGCCAACTCAGAAACAAGGGGCGTTTAGACCGATGGTCCCAAGAAGGGTGCCCTCAGGAATGAGACAGAGCAGTTGTCACAGAGAGAAATGATGCATCGACACTGCCCAGAGACACAGACCCTGGGGAACACTGGGGGTGGGTGGGGGGAGTTAGTCCTGGAGAGAAACTTCCCATGTGTAGTTGTGTTGTTTTCATTTTTCCAGTTCTAAGATAAAATATTAATGTTAGCATTAATAACATATTATGTGTACAGTCTTGTTTACAAAGTTTCTTCACTCCTGATAATGCAAAAATCTGGTAAACTTTTTTTTAGGGAAAGGGCTCAGGGCTCAAAATTACAAGAAAAAAAAGTATGAACTCAAAGTATGGCTACATTATGTTGTACACCTTAAACAAATATAACCTTCTATGTCAATTATACTTGAAAGAAAGAAAGAAAAATAGAAACAAAGAAACAAAGAAAGAAGCAAAGTAACAAAGAAAAGAAAGAAAAGTGTAACCAAAAGATCTTTCAAGCTCCACACTTTCCTCCTGGGGAGCCCTCAAAGTATGGGAAAGAAAAGCAGAAGATAGCGGGGAAGTGACCCTTCACCCAGTCACCTGACCCCAGCCTCCTTTTACTCTGTCTGAAGTAAGAGACAGTCTTCTAGTTCCCTCATACTCTCTTGTGCATCCATCTGGCTAAATGCGGTAGATATTGATAGTGAAAACGGATTTGTAAGTTGAGGGTGTTTTCTGGGAGGAGAAAGGCAGTCCATTTAAAACTCCAAGAGTCTTAAAATGGAGCCATGAGTCGGGTGACCTGGGTCCCTGTTTGCTTGGGATTGGGTTTGTTTGTAAGCCTGTTCCTGGTGTAATTATTCTGGTACACCTTTCACTTCCAGATGTGGCTTGGTTTGGACACTGACTTAGCAAGGTATCTTTTTTCATAAAATTGCTCTGACTATTCCCGTGGGGTTATCACCAAGGTGGTTCGGGGCTCAGCTGGGTGCAATGCACTGTGCTAGGCTCTTTGTAGCATTACAAAGAGGGAGAAGAATTCGAATTCCCATCATAATATTTCCCAAGTGGCATGAAGTCTTGAGGAAATGAAACATTTACACACACACACACACACACACACACACACACACACACACACACACCTGCCTCACTTTCTCATTCTCAAGGTTAATGCTTCAAAGAAGCTCAATCTGCTACCCAGGAATGTTAAAGAAGTTAAGTGTTCTAACCCTAATCACCTGTGCGCTTTGGGCTCTGGACGGGGCCTCAGGCAGTGACCTGTACAGAACTGGCTGTTTAAAAATTATCCAGGGAACTTGTTAAAAATAGAGATTGGGCCTACTGCCTGAGATTCTGAATCAGCACATCTGAGAATCTATTTAAAAAAAAAAAAAAAAGAAAACAAAGCTTCCCAGGTGGTTTGGACATGAAAGCCAGATTTGGACTCACTGGTGACTCATCATCCTTTGACCCCTGCCTGGAGCCATCCACTGTTGCTGTGGAAACTACTGATTTGCCCCTCAGCCAGACTGGATTTTACTTCCTTTTTTTTTTTTTTTTTTTTTAAGTCCATATCTGTTTCAAAAATAGAGGGCATTATTTTTGGAAGAGAAGATGTGTTTTCTCCCTTAAGATATTTATATTTAGAGAGGAAAAGCAAAGCCCCCCAAAAGGCAGTAAACTTTCTCATCTGAAACCAACTCAACAGGAAGCAGGCATCCTCACTACTTGAACATGACTAGAAAGAAACTAATGAGTGGTTATTTCCTGAGGCAAGTTTCAAATTGTCTGGAGCTTCCTTCTCATTTAGTTGTTGTAAGGTGCCCGGCTGGAGGCTTGGGCTCACGGGCTTCCCCGGGTGGTCTGAGGGGCTGGTGGTGGCTGGCCAAGATGGTATCAAGACTCTGGAGGCTCCAGCTTGAGGCAGACGTGGAAAAGGATGGCCCTACAGAATTACCATCAGAATACGATTTACACACACGCAGCTGTATGGCCAGGAGACCCATACTGAGCCACCCTGATAAATATACCACATTCATGCTCTGTGACCGAGCTGAGGAGAGAGCAGTGCCCATCTTTCTTCAGGCTTCAGAAGCCAAGGAGATAGGGTGGAGACAGGGGCCAACAGAGGGATTCTGGAGCTTTATGTTGCAAAGTTGGCCTGAAGACTTAAGAATTTAGCAAGTCAGAGTTCTCTTATCTTTCAGCTTAAAAAAGAAAAGCACAAAATGGTTACATCTGAAAGAGAAGGATCTTGGCATTCACTCCTCTTGGTAAATCCTGATACATCTCCTTGGGATCCCACAACGAAATGTCCCTTCCACAGATAGATATTCACTCAGATTCATCAGCTTGCCAGCCACTATTGGACTAAGACAGACACCTCACTACAGTTGTGTGTTACAGAAGGAGCTGATCCTTCTCTGAATAGGAATCATTCCCTTTTGGCATTCCTTCTCTTTTTCCCGCCTTTGTCTGCAGAACTCTCCGATTTCAGATGGACAGTACTTTTCAAACAAATGCTCAGCCCCAGTGGGTAAGTCTTTCTTCCAGAAATGCTCCTACTGTGCTTCTCTTGGCTCAGGACACAGAAAACCCAGCTTGGGCCCTTGACCCTGGCTGTCAACATGCTCCACCCCACCACCCCACTCAGAGCCCATGGAGCACCAAGGTCAGTATCAACTGACCTCTTCCAAAGCCTTTCACAAGTCTGCCTCCCTTGCCTAAAACCCTCACACCACCACCTAGGACATACAGAGTCCCTTTGCTCATATAGCTCACTCCCCAGTCAGGGTGCCTGCCCAAACACTAGCACGACTGCCTCTCCTCCATCCCCAGCTGACTATAGACCCCTATTCCACATCTGGACTGGGGGTAAGGGACTGTCACCAGGAAACCCAAGGCAATCTCCTGAATTTACTCTGAGGGGAGATGTCTACTAATCTAATTTTTCAGGGCTGAGCACATAATGAGAAATGGACACAATAAGGAGAACGTGATGTGAGAAGAAGCTAGGGAGAACACAGGGGACGTGAACAAGGCTGGATGGAAAAGAAACGGAAGTGATGCTTACATCACAATGGCCCACACAACCAGAGTTTACTTCGAACCTCCTTCAGTGTTAGTTGCGGCTGCTATGGGCATCCTCCTCCTCCATGTCTGAACTACTCACCTCCTCTGGAACCCTGGGTTCCTTCCCCCGGGTCTGCTGGGCCACACGAGCTTGCAGCCTACCCATTCACTCAGGTAGCCTCCTCACCTGGCTATTTTGAGTGTAGGTGACTCTCCCAGTGCATCCTGGGAAACTGCAGAGAAGAGCTCACTCCCTCCCTTTTCATTTTCTCTTTCTCCCAGGCCTTAGCTCCAAGTAAGTCAGAGGTTCTTAATCTGGGACCCACAATGAGTTTCAGGAGCTCCAGGAGCCTCTTAATATCACACACATCATTTGCGTGTGTGTGTATGCGTGCATGTGCACACGTGCACGCATGTACACACACACACAATTTTCTAGGGGCAAGATTCACCAATTTTTCCATCAGATTTTCCAAGGCACCCCAAAAAAGATAAGGAATCACTGACTGGTCCTGAGCTTGTCCCGTGCCAATTGCGTGTGTGCTAAGCAGGGTGTAGTAGAGGGGGTCGAGATGCTCACACGATCACAGTGCTCAGGGCCCCGCACAGTACCTTGGAAGCAGCCATCACCGCCGCTGTGGCCGCCACATTCAAGCCCCGCTTCCCAAAGTGCACAAGGGCATCGTAACTTCTGTCTTTTGCTTGGACCAGGCAATCATCGATTTCCTGTTAAAGAAAAAACAGAGGCACACTGAGTTGGAGGGTTCAAATAAATCCCTGTCCTTTCTCCTTGCTCCTGAACACTGGGTTTGGCAGCTTGGCCATTCACGGAGCCTCACTGGGACTGAAAAGTCATATGCACTTAGGGGTGTGTGTTTAGAGGGGGGAGGAATGAAGAAATGAAGAAACAAAAGAGGTACAGGGAACTAAAAAAGGAATTTTGAAAAAACAGCCATTTACTGACCCAGGAAGATTTCCTTCTAGCAACACCCTAGGATTGTTTCTAAAGTCCTCTAACCTTCCAGGGAGGGTCCAGGGGTTCTGGATGTGGACAGTCCTGCCATTCCACACACAGCCACCCTATAAGACTCCGAAGGAACTGAAGGTAGAGAGAATGCCAAGAATCAAGCATCTAACGTCAGACCTGCCACTACCTGGTTGTCAGACTTTGGCAAGGGTTTAGCCTTTTGAAAAATGAGGACAGTGATAGTACCTAATGGGGAGAACTCCTGGAGGGTTACAGGAGATCATTCCAGAAAAGCATCTAACACAGCAGCTGGTTTCAACTGAGTGAGAACCACTAACATCCTCCTTTCTCAAGGGGGTCAGACCCTTGCAGCTCTAAAATTCTATTATTCTTAAGGAGTGCCTGGGTACCTCAGTCAGTCCAACTCTTGATTTCAGCTCAGGTCATGATCTCACGGTTTGTGAGATCAAGCCCCATATAAGGCTCTACACTGACAGCACGGAACCTGCTTGGGATTCTCTCTCCCTCTCTCTCTGCCCCTCCCCCTGCACGCGTGATTGTGCGCTCTCTCTCTCTCTCTCTCTCTCGCTCTCAAACTTTACAAAATAAACTACAACTCTGCTATTCTGTAACTATTAAATACTATATCCAAATATCTCTCCATGTAAGATACTGAGGGGAGATATTAGGACATAGAAAGTGATACCAGCACTATTTTTGTTGATAAGGGAGATCATTTTACAGATAATGAAATAAAAGCAGAGATGAGAAGTCACCCAGCATCATCCTCAGGGTAAGGGGGAGGTTGGAAAGAGGACTGAAGTCTCTCTCCTTCAAGGATGAAAATAATGGTTTGCTTGAGATCTGCTTCAACACTGGCTTATTCTTGTTTGGTTGGTTGGTTTGCGTTGTTACCACTGTTATAAGAAAACAGCTGTTTTGTAACTCACAGTAGCTCATATTTCGGAGTTCAGTAAGACAGTGACACCTGGCCTCAGGCTCATTTGAAGTGCATTTCCTTTGCTTTGAGGCATAACGTGGGAGAGTCAACCCCTGTGCATTCCTGGTTTAAGGCTTCCCCAGGAAGTCACCACACTAAGTTTTCATTGTGACCCCTGACTGACTCTGGTAGGGATTCTTGGCAGCTCTTAAGTCAGCCACCTTCACTTCAATGGAAATCAGATTGGTGGCTTCAGGGTGAGCCCAGCATCTGGGGAAGGGGAAAGGGAAATGGAAAGCGTAGGGATCTGACAACCAAGGGAAGAGAGAGATCCTATTCCTCAAAACCCACCCTTCTGAAACAGGCAGTGCTGTATCCTAGTTCCTAAAAGGGTTTTCAGAAATGTCCATAGTAGTTTGCTCATGCAATGAATATGTTCCCCCAAAACCTCCCCCAAGAAATCCAAAGTACTCAACTTTCAGAGACAATAGAAATTTATATACAAAGCCACATACAGTGCTCCTACTTTATGATAAAGAATCATATCCCAATTAGTTCGGAAGGTCATGTAACATAATTAATAAGTTATACAATGCTGGGCTTAATAATTCCACCCTTGGCAATTTATCCTAAGAAGTCAAAAGAAGAAATTAAACTCTCTGTACTGTGGTGTTCATGAATCATCAATCAAGATCAAGTACGAATGCATTATGTGCAAACATGTTTAAGATCTCAGAATATAAATATTGCATGTATGTTAAGTGTTTTTGTTTTTATGCATTTGGGTTTTTCTTTTTTTTTGTTGTTCACTTAAAATTTATTTTAAAGAAAGGTTTAATAGACTGGTATGCATTAAAAAAGAAGTTACCAAAACAAATTAGTGAGACAGAGGTGATGGGTAATGGACTTTGCATTCATTATTGTATGAAACCTTAAAAGAAAAAAAAAACACTATAGAACAATCCACTGAAAGCAAATCCAGCAAATTAAGTTCAGTGGAGATATTAAACAAAAAATCATTTTACAGACAGTGACATTATATTAGAAGTAGCTTAGAATTGAATTTCTTTTTAAGAGATAGAAGTTGTAATTCTTACTTGAATTCTTACTTATTACTGACCCTTTCCTGCAAATTTCCCATCTTATTTTTCCCATCTCTGACATTAGATGAATCTATATTTTCATTGCAAAGATGTTTGTGAAGTACTTTGATGCAAAATAAACACAAAAGGTAAACAGCATAAGCAAATTATTATGACTATTCTCATTAGTACTTACAACTGATAATTACATAAACAGGAGGGATTCCCTCGGTAACATATATTGTAACATGAAACAGAGCAAACACTGTATAAGAAATTTATTATCTTCCAGTCTCTGTTGGTAACTACCTACGTAAAAGCTCAAGGCATTTAATCTCTTTATGCCTCCACTTTTCTATGTTAAGTTTTAAAAGTGATTTTTAATAGTCTATGTAAAAATCAGATCTATAGAAGGACAGGAGCTGAGCATGATAAAAGGAAGGAAATTCAGTTTGGGGAGCTGAATTATGAGCAAATCTTTTGTTGTCTTTTGTTGCAAGGCATGGAAATGTTTTTCAGCAAGGAATGATAAATTTTTTGGAGGATTTCACCACTATTTCTAAACATGTCAAAAAATAGATTAAAAAAAGAGTAGAAGGAACAAATTGTTGGGGGGCAAATAAGGGACAATCTAGGGTCCCCTATAATAAAACACTCTGTCCTTTTTACTTATCACTTTTTAAATTTTTTACTCACTGGAAGGAGTGACAAAGGCTAAGCAGCATAAATTACCTTTTCTTTTGAAGACAGCGTGGGATGTACAAACTTCCTGTATAGGAGGCTGGAGCCTTTTGTGTAGGGAGACAGCAGCCAGGCGACAAATGCTATTTTTAGTTCATAATAGAATGGAAACCTGAAGAGAGATGAGAAAATACACATTCTGTTAGGTTCTCGGCAACACTGCTCTGGACCTATGAAGGACAGGCCCAGCACCTCTTGTGCCTGCCCATGGCTGCGAGGCTCCCAGATTCCTCTTTTCTCCACCCATGAAGGCGTGTGTACACTTGCAAATACAGAGCAGAAGCCCAAGACCTCTTTTTAAGATTTTATTTTTATTTATTTCTAATTTTTTAATGTTTGTTTATTTTTGAGAGAGATAGAGTGTGAGCAGGGGATGGGCAGGGAAAGAGGGAGACACAGAATCCGAAGCGGGCTCCAGGCTCTGAGCTGTTAGCACAGAGCCCAATGCGGGGCTCAAACTCACATACCGTAAGATCATGACCTGAGCCAAAGTTGGACGCTTAACCAACTGGGCCACCCAGGCGCCCCTGACGATTTTACTTTTTTAAGTACTTTCTATACCCAACATGGGACTCAAACTCACAATCCCAAGATCAAGAGTCACGTGTTCTACTGACTGAGCAAGCCAGGCGCCCCTGTAAGGCTTCTTTTGAAAGTTAGTTCTTGTTTTCATTTTTTGCCAAACCAGCCAGGGATCCAGGTTTTCTCCAGCCATCACCCTGCGGGCCATGCCTGGCAACAGCCCATGCTTCCTGTAGGGTTCTGCTTGTTTAGATTGGTGCTGGGGCTCTGGCCACAGCCTGCAGGTTCGGAAGGCCATGGTCTCCTGTGCCCTACCCCCAGTCACTCACTCTTCACTTGTGGCCAAGAAGGCACCAACACCTGAAGGCTTTATAACTGGGAGTAACTGACAAAGAATCTTCAGACTGAGAATAAAAGCCTCCCCTTCTTGGCTGGGACAGGAGCTGAATTCTTGCCACCAAAAAGGATGCTACTCACCCTACTTAAGTGGACAGCAGGCAAACAGAGCTTGGTCTTTTTGGTGCCAAAAGAAAGAAGGGCTCGGGGTGCAGGTAACATACAACTTCAGAGTCTGAAGTCCTGCATCCTGTTCATTTATGCATCACAGAAACGCTTACCAGCACCAGCAAGTGTCCGCTCGCACTGAGCACTGTGTAGACAAGGGTGAATAAAGAAGGCCTGATCCTTGCTCTCTTGGCGCTTTTAGTCTAGTGGGAAACAGACAAGACTGTCTTGTATCCTTGGAACTGACAGTCGAGTCAGGGAAAGAGATGGATCAAATGATCACAAATAATATAGAATAGCAACCTGAGATGTGTGCCATAATGGGCCTCTGCCAGCTCATGGGGTACCTTTGTGTATATAAGAAAAAGCCAGCCCCTCGACTAGATGCAGACCTGTGAGCACATGACTGGTGAAGGGGCCTTCATTTGAACTTCAGCCCCACTTGCCACCGTGGCCAGGTATCTTGCTCTATGAACAACCTGTGCAACAACACTTGGCCGTCCTGACGTGTACTAATATCACGTCTTTTTATTTTCTGTATTCCGATGCTTTGACATTTTGGGGCCTTGCTGCCTCTGGAGAGGGTGCCCCTCCCGGAATTAGCCAATTCCTAAAGATAGGAAACAACTCACCCACAAGCAAGCCTTTCATATGCAAACCGACCAATCCCTTACCCCACCACGTCTTTTGTGAGCCCTCACACTCTGGGCCACTCTCCAGCTGTTTTCACCACCCCAGGGCCGAGGTCCCAGCCACCAAGGGACAGCCTCTACACCCCAGGGCCCACTGAAATTATTCAGTCGAGCTAATCCTAAACATGTTTACCCTGCCTTGGCTGCTCCTTCCATGGAAACCACAATAAAGGTTCTTGCCCACACTTCCTACTTTTCTGCCTCTCGACTGGCCTCATGGTGTGCTGTGCCTCCAGTTTCTAGGGATCTATGATTTTAGCAAACTTCTTCATGACAGTCATCTCAGCATCATGTGTTTTACCACACCTGATTAAAACAAATCCCTGGTACCCTTAAAACATGATGCTCTGAGGGAAAAGGACACCTGTGCTAGTCTGAAAAATCAGAAAAGTAAACTCCTCCTAGGTACCTTCCGTCCACCCCCCCCCACCCCCCGCCACACACAAAAGAGCTGAAAATACAGAGCAATTTCTGGCAAGTCAGTTCAGCAGAGCCTTCAGCTCTCACACAGACCCCAAAATCAGCAGATCCACCTACTCTGCTTTCCTCATCCAGGTCCCTGGCCTGCCTTCTTCTGCCTCTGGCAGGCTCTTCCGGAATATTCCCTCAGCAACTCGAGGACACTGTCATGTCAAGATTGTTTAATGTTTCACAGCCGTCACAGATAAGAGGCTGAAGGAACAGAGGTGTGATTCTCCCACATTTGAACACTCTAGTGATTAACATTAGAGGAAATTTTATCTTGGAAACAAGTATTTGCCAACCCCAAGGGGAAAGCAAGCTCAGGCATCAACACAAGACACACACATAATCCCAAGGGATCTGTCACATGGCAGTGCTTTTGTTGTTTATGTAAAAGATGTGTTTTTTAAATAGGTAATGCATGAATATATAGTTTTAAAAATGCAAATATCCGGAAGAGCATACAACAAGGAATCTTCTTCCATTCCCAGACCTTTGTCCCTTTTCCAAAAGCAAAAACATTATCAGTAGTAAACTTCAGATGCCTAAGACATAACATCATGTGGGTATATATGACTCCTTTAGCACCCCCTCATCCATACACATTAACATCCTATAATCCCCCCCTCCCCCAATTAACAGTATACATTGGGAATTATCTCAAACTGCCCCTGGAATTATCACACCAGGCCCAGGCCCTTGTCAGGTATCGTAAGGGTCTCCCAGTTGAGCCCCTCAGACCCTGGGTGTCCCAGCCGCCTTGGGCTCACTTGGCTCTACCAATGAAATCGCCACCAACCAGGTCACTTTCCACCGGACCTCCACAGTCCCAAGCCTTCACCAAGAAGGGGAGAAGGACCCTGCTCATTCCTTAATGATTGACCCTTGAACTGTCCTGACCTCTAGGATGTACTTGCCTCCCCAGATACAGGTGCACAGCTCTGCGGTGTGTGTGAGAGGTACAGACTCCCACCCTTCAATGTTATACCTTCACACTCATGAGGGCCAGCTGTCTTCTAAGAGGGTTGGACAAGTGATGGTATTGACAGAATACATGCAATTCATGTGTATAGAGAATTCCTGGAAGAAAACACAAGTAACTTTTAACAGGGGTGCCCCTGGGGAGAAGGACTGAAGGCCGGGGAGAGGAGGGACTCACTTTCTGGTGTACTGTTTCAATTTCATTTTGCCATGTGATGCTGTATTCTATAATTGTTAAAAAACTAAATGAAATCACCTATAGAAATTGTGAAGCAAGCCACCATCTACCTCTTCTGTGACCATATACAACTGCTGTTTACATCAAGATAGAAAGTTAAAAAGAAAGAAAAAAAAAAAAAAAAGAACTATGAAGAGAGAACTGCCCCGGGGAGGGTGGAGAGAGAGGAGTGCGGAGGAGTGAGGAGTGAGGAGCAAGCTCCAATCCTGGAAGTGAACCAAAGTTAAAGATGCTCCCCAGGAATCCAGAACGTGCTTCCTTCCGGTAAAAACAGAAACTTCTCTCTCCTGCCCCCTCCCCCGTCCCCTCATTATAAAGAGCAGTCAGAGCTGCTGAGCTGGTGTCCACATCCCTGGAAGGGAAATAGGGCTCTGTTTGTCTGATCAGCCTGTTCTGCACCGTTCCCAGAGCAAGAGGGAGGAAAAATTGCGAAGATTTTGCCTAAAGACAACTATGACCCTTGATAGCTGGAGATTGGCAGAAAAAGAGAAGGCAGGGCTGAGAGCATGACTAGGCTGTAGGATAATGCAGGCAGAGAAGGTTCCCAACCTCTTCCCTGCATAAGCAGCGCTAGGGGGAGGGGGGAGGCCGGAGATGGGCAGCACCTTCACTTCCCACCTGGGCTGCTCCCGCTAAGGTGGGCCAGATAAGGCCTCCAGGTGGATCAGGAAGAGGGGGATTCTACCCATACCTATGCACATGTGCCAAACACAGCAGGTATCAGAGGCCCTCCTGTGGTAGGCAGAATTTCAGTCCTATAATCTTCTTGTTCTGATGTTACTCCCACAAAATATGTTCCCTTAACATGGCAAAGGGGATTCTGAAGGTTTAACTGAGATTATTAATCAGCTGACTTTAAAACAGGGAAATTATACTGGGTTATTGGGGTAGGCCTAATTTAATAATATGATCCCTTAAAGCAAAAGCAGAGACCTTTCCCTGGCTGGTAGCAGAAGGCAGAGATTTGAAGCATGAAAAGGATTTGACATGCCTTTCTTGGCTTCAAAATGAAATAGGAGGTACATGTCGAGGAAATGGGGACCCCAGTCTTACAGCCACAAGGAACTGAATTCTACCAAACAATCAAAATGAGCCTGAAGCGGACTCTCCCCACAAGTCTCCAGATAAGAGCCCAGGTTGGCCCACACCGATTTTGGCCTTGTGAGTCCCTAAGCAGAGGGCTTAGTTGATTCTACCTGGACTTCTGACTCATAGAAACTGAAATAAGACATTTCTGTTGTTTTAAGCTCCTAAGTTTGTGACAATTTGTTACAGCAGCAATGGAAAGCTAATACACTTCCTAAAATCAAAATCAAATCAATTCCAGAAATAGTTGATAAGCACTTATTAGTATGAAACTCTAAAGTTCCTGGGCCATAGGTGAAAACAGTCCAGCTATCAGGGAGGGACACATGCATCATTAGACTGCACTTTCACTTAGCCAAAAGCAGTGAGACTGAAATGCTGACATCCCTGGGAAAGAACTTATAAGACTAACACTATCCCCCTTGAAGTTCCTGAGGAGGGACAGAAGGACAGAAGGAGGCCACCCAGCATGAGACACAGGACATTGTTAAGAGGGAAGACTGGAGGACATAAGGTGCTAGCCACGATGCTTAAATAACTACCCTGTCCTTCATTGGCTCTAGCCTGTTGTTCTCATCTCCATGGGACAGAGGAGCCTCCCCAATGCAGCTCTGCACAATACTGTGCCTGACTCACAGTGCCAGCCCCTGGACCTGGGGAAGATGAAAAATAGCTCGGCAGAGTTCCTTCTCCACTCCCAGAGACTTAGCCCCATTCTGAGTCTGTTATTTATCTGGGCGCAGGGCAGTTCAGGATGGCACAAACTTGTTAAATTCGGTAATCCACATTTATTCCCTACAGCTTGAGGCCACAATGGCTGAGACATCTATTTCTCACAGTGGAAGTGAGCCAGGATCCTTCGGGGGGAGAAACTACATACTAAGGTCATTAACACCACTGATTCAAAACAGGATTCACAGGGGACGCCTGGGTGGCTCAGTCGGTTAAGCATCTGACTCTTGGTTTTGGTTCAGGTCATGATCTCATGGTTTGTAGGTTTGAGTCCTACATCAGGCTCTGTGCTATGTGAATTCTCTCTCTCTTTCTCACTCTCTCTCTCTCTCTTTCTGCCCTTCTCCAGCTCAATCTCTTCTTCTCTCTCCCTCTCAAAAATAAATAAATAAAGTTAAAAAAAATAGGATTCACAGAAGTGGTGTTCAGGTCTGGTCCTTGGCCTGTCACATCCTGGAGGGTAAGTTCATACTGATCCTTTCTGGGTAAGGACTTTCTCCAAAATGGAACTATTTTTACTATTTTCTCTGATGATAATTGATCATGGCATAACATTCACGCAAAACAGCAAATATAAAACCAACCCCATGATTCCAAGTTGCAAAAATAACTCTGGTTAACGGATGAGTATTTCCAAACTACTTTTAGTATACATTTACATGTGTACAGAGAAATTCAAGTCCTTTAAATGTAAACAAGATACTATATATTACTCAGTCGCTTTCACCTAAGAAGATGCAGCATATCAATACATAGACCTAGCTTACAATTTTTTCTTGCTCCATTGCTGTAATAGCTGTTTTGTTTAGTTCATAAGGGGAAATTTTTTTTCCATCCAAAGAGGATTGATTAAATAAATTGTGGTCCATCCATACCATGAAATTCCGTGTAGCCACTGAAAATATAGATCTAATTATGCTTATATGAAAGTATTTAAAAAATAAATTTAATAAGCAAAGTAAGAACTGTTACATACACTATAATATTATTGTTAAAAAAGAAAAATATTTAAATAAATATTTAAAAACCATATATAGCTGGAAGGGCGCCTGGGTGGCTCAGTCGGTTAAGTGCTCGACTTCAGCTCAAGTCATGATCTCGTAGTTCATGGGTTCGAGCCCCACATCAGGCTCTGTGCTGACAGCTCAGAGCCTGGAGCCTGCTTCAGATTCTGTGTCTCCCTCTCTCTGACTCTTCCCCTGCTCTCTCTCTCTCTCTCAAAAATAAATAAATATTTTTAAAAAATTTTAAGGTATATACAGCTAGAACTAGTAGCTATGGTGAGAGTGAATAGTGTTTGAGAGAAATTTAGTTTTATTAGTTAAGGGGAAACTTTTGTATACTGTTTTTTCCCCTTTTTTTTGACATCTGAATGCTTCTTTACCAACTCCATTAATTGAGGAACTCCTTATTTTGTCCATCATTATATCATTGTATTATAAGAAAAATACTGGCTCTTATAAGGTCATTGAATAAATGTTTACTTGAAGACTTTATAGATTAATTTCTTAAAAATATCGCAGTTAACATCCTGCACTTGCTTTTCTGTTCCGAATTAAGGTTTGGGACTGCTTTTAGACCTTTGCCATCTCTCCACTGACACGAGGCAACATCTTCCCCTGAAAGGTCCCAATTCCTGGAGTAACTTACCAACAAAGGAAGATGTCGGTAAATGTCTCTGCTGTGGTGAAAAGTGCAAATATAATCCAGTACATCATCCATTTGACCTGTTGAAAGAGAAAGTGACAAAGCTAAGTAGAAAAGGTCAAGGCTAAATGGCTGGCTGCCCAACATCAAGAAGAAGAGGAAGAAGTGGACAATGAGGCATGTTCAAGCAGTATATCCAGCATTTGTAACCCCTTCTCCCTATTCTTCCACAGCTCATGTCCAGTTCTACTTCAGGTCTTGGGCCTGGAGGCAAACACACTTTTCCCACAACTGACCCAGGCTCCAGGTCAAAGTAGACTCTGGGTGACCTTCAGTGGCCCTCAGGTAAGCCAGGGGGAGCTGCGGACCAGGAGTGACTCAGGACTCAGTTAGGTCATTTTTTTCCAAGACTAACAACAGGTTAGTAAACTCTCCAGAGTTTGTACTGGGGAGACACACTTTGGAATGACCTTTAACCAGACCACTTTCTGGAATGTAATGGTGGTCACTTAAGAATGCTTTCCTGTGGAAAAGTCTTACCACCCCTCACAGAAACTGGATCTTTTTTTAAAAATCTCTCCTACGTGAGCATCTCTGTCCATTTCAACTCTCTCCCCCTGTAGAGATCTTTGTCACCTGTCTCCTGAACTACCACAAGAATCTTCTAACTGCTTCCTTTGTCTCAGGGCTTCCCCCCTCCCCACCACCAACCCATCCCATAAACAATCTCTATATTAATCTCCCAAAACCAAGAATTTATCAGACTACTCCCTAACTTAAAATCTTCCAGACTGCAGAATAAAGTCCAAATTCCTTAGTCTTCTCCTTCTAGTTCCTGGTCATGGTGGAGTAAGGTATTTGACTAGGCCTCTCCTGCCAACAATGCTAACAAACTCTAAACAAAATATTTAATTTTTTAAATGTTTACTTATTTTTGAGAGAGAGAGAGAGAGAGAAAGAGAGAGACAGAGAGAGAGGGAGAGAACAAGTGTAGAAGGGGCAGAGAATGAGGCGAACAGCATAAACCACGGAAGAAAAAACTCATAATTTGGACTTCATTAAAATTAAAAATTTCTTCTCTGCAAGACACTGTTAAGAGAATTAAAAGAGAAGCCACAGAATGGGAGAAAATATTTTCAGTACATATATCTGGTAAAAAAAACTCTTATCCAAAAATACAAAGAACTCTTAAATTCATAAAAATCTCATAAAAAATAAACAACCCAATTAAAAACTGGGCCAAACATCTGAACACCTCACCAAAAAAAGATATACAGATACATAGCAACTTATAAACAAAGTTTTGTTATGAAACCTAATTTTTTCTTCTGTCATCACTTAACAAGACACTTATCCTAGAAGGAGAAGGGAGGATTCAATAATATTTTTCTTGAAAAATATAAATATTTTGAAGAGTCTATAGGAAAAAGTAGATATAATGAGTGGAGAGATGAGGGATTTCAAGAGAAAGAAGGAAACTCTTTTTAAAAAACCAAATGACACCCTAAAACTGAAAAACAGAATATTTAGAATTTTTAAAATTACTGAATGAAATTAAGAGCAGATTGGATGCAACAATCACAGAAAGCATCTGTGAACTTGAGGACAAGACAATAAAGTCAATAAGACAAAAGTCTAGATTAGAAAAAAACAGAGAGGCTCAATGCCTGTGGAATAGCATCAAGAAGTCTAACATATATGGAATAGGAATTTTCAGAGGAAAAAGAGAGTGGGACATAAAAATTATTTTAAAAAATAATGACTGAATTGTCCAGAATCAATCAAAAATAGCAAATCTACAGAACCAGGGAGCTCAGAAAACCTCAAACAAGATAAATACAAAGAAAACCACACCCAGGCACATCACAGTAAAATTGCTGAAAAAGAAAGAAAATCTTAAGGGGGGGGGGGAAGAAATACTACATACAGGGAACAACAGATGACTTTTCATTGGAAATGATGAATACCAGAAGAAATAAAATAACATATTTAAAGTGCTGAAAGAAGATAAATCAACCTAGAATTCTATAACCAGCAAAAATATATTTCAAAAATAAAGGCAGTTCTGGTGAATGCACATTGTCTTTGTGATTCTGAAACATGTGGCTCAAGAGATTACTCAGAGGTCTTCTTTATTCAGAAAAACGACTGTCCCCTGGGAACCACTCTAGTTTAATCCATCAAAAGTAACTACTGTCTAAGAGACTACATGTTGTCAAGAGTACCTGCAGCAGAATAGGACCCTCAGTAGGGTACAAAGAAGGTCTTTCCAACTGTATGTTTCCAAGGCATGCTAGGGCCCAGGATCCAGGAATTCCCAACAGTGGTATCCAGATACACAACCAAGAGCCTGATTTCCCACTCTATTGTCTTTTTCTTCTTAACACTCAAACCATGCTCTAATATCTTCAGTTAAAAACAAAGGACAATGAGGGGCACCTGGGTAGCTCAGCTGATTAAGCATCTAACTCTTGATTTCAGCCCAGGTCATGATCTCACCATTCATGAGCTCCAGCCCTGCATCAGGCTCTGCCTGAGAGTGTGAGGGCACAGCCTGCTTGGGATTCTTTCTCTCCATCTCTCTCTGCCCCTTCCACACTGTCTCTCTCTTTTTTTCTCAATATAAATAAATAAACTTTAAAAAAAGGATGATGATAACAACAATAAAAAATCCCTTTCCTCGAAACAACCCTTAGCTATAAGCTTATCTAATGAGTCATCTATACTTGCAGTGTCTACTTCCTCATCCTCCATTTACTCAGTGCACTACATTCATTAAGTTAATACTGCTCTCACTGGGGTTCCCACTTCAAGGGAGTGTAACTGACCCTTTTTCAGTTTTTTTTTTACTAAATTTGTTTGACTTTCAGATGGATACAAAACTATCATTTCCTGAAAAGCTTCCCCAACACAACTGTCCTGGTTTCCCTCTTGACTTTCTGGCTACTTCTCAGGTTCATCAGTCCCTTCACAAGGCTTTGTTCTAGACATTCTCTTCTAACTCTAGATAAGACATTCTCCCTGGGAAAACTCTGCATTCCTCACCTAACACAGCCAATCAGTCACCAAGGCCTGTCACTTCCTGTCTCTTATTTCTGTTGACTCTATCTTCTTCTCTCCATCCCTTTTGCCATTTGCTTCCTTTAGACCATGAACATCCCCTATCTAGAATAGAACTCCAGCCTTCTGCTTGGTCTCTAAACCTCTGACCTAATCTGACCTCTAATCTAATCTACCAATCTATCCTCCATATTATAGTCAGAATGATCTTAAATCCAAATTTGAGATTCTCCTTCCTACTTTAAAATCCTCATCAGTGCCATATTGTTGTTAAAATAAAGCCCAAATCCCTTAAATTGGCTTACAAGTCCTTGCATGAATGAAACCCTCATAAAAAGCTCTCCTCCACACCAATTCTTTCTTGAAATTTTCACTCCAATTATAATGAACCTCTTTCAGTTCTCTGAACAGTGCATCTTCTTTTGCCTACAGATTTCAGCCCTCAGAGCTCAGCCTAAATTTCACTCTTTCAAGTAAGTGTCCAAAGTTTGGGTAAGTACCCTCTCCTTTCTTCCTCCCACACTGTCATACATGCTCCCTGTCATACACTTATCACTCTGCTTTGAAGTACCTATTTATTTCTGATTTTCTTACTAGATTGTAAGCTCCCTAAGAGTGGAGACAATTTATTCTTGTCTCATCACCATATCTCTAGTACCTAAAACCACTATTGGCACATAGTAGGTACTAAAGGCATATGTTTTGAATGACTCGATTAGAATGTTGGCTTTGTGAATGGGAAAGAAAGGATAGGTTTTGTTGGTTTGTTTGTTTTGAGAGAGAGAGGGTACAAGTGGTTGAGGGGCAGAGAGAGAGAGAGAGATTGAGGGGCGGGGGGGAAGACAGAGAGAAGCAGGGCTCACCCAAAGCAGGACTCAAGCTCACCCAATGTGGGGCTTGAACTCATGAACTGTGAGATAATGACCGGAGCTGAAGTCAGATGCTTAACTGACTAAGCCACATCAGGTACCCCGATGGTTTTTACATGTTGAGGAATAATATACCTTGGGAAATACTGGTTTAGGTGGCTTTTTGAGGAGAAAAGTCCAAATCAGACAGCTTGCAAGGCAATAGATGTTCCTCATGAATGCCTGCTGAATGGATGGCTGGGTATACATAGGTGGAAAGGGGCTTACTAAAGCCAAGACATAGTATAATATGGAGCCACTCACACCAGCAAGAAAGCAAAGAAAGAGGCAATTTAGGGAGAAGGCTGGGCTCCATAACACTGAGGGGAGTCTGAGGGTTCAGGAGGACATTCAAGGAAAATGCCTAATGGGCTCCTGAAAAAGGATAAGACCAAATCTCAGAAGGGAGGTTGAAACTATGGACAAAGATGAGGGAGCCATGGCAAAGAGGAGGCTTGAAGTGTTAATCATGTGTTAACCTAACAAAGTTTCCATCATGTACTCCTTCACTTTAAATATTGCCATGCTGAAAGAAGGGTCTGAGAATGATTTACTGAGCAAGACTAACAGGGTAAATGGAATATGTGACTCAGAAATGGAAACCATAAATAAATTACTAGGAAATGGTATTCCCCATCATGCCATGGAGAAACCAAATAATGGCTGTGTTTTCCAAGGTTTGAAGTAGAACTTGCCAAGTTTGAGGGATTCTATGTAATACTTATTATAAGATGGGGGGGGAGGCTGGGGAGGCAGCATCCAGAATAGAGAGAGGAAGCCATGGCTGATGTGAGAAGGAGTGTCCAGGAGCAATTTAGAAACAGAGAGTTGAAAGAGAGAGATTGGGAAGCCCCTCTCAACTGGTCAGGGGCAGGACCCAGGAGTGAGGAGATAGGAGAGGAGGTGAGACTCTAGACCATAGCAAGAGGGTGGGAGGCAGAGCCTAGACACTTCATAAATGACAGAGGCAAGCTGAGATCCCACAGCTCATCAGATCCTACCACCCCCCTCCCCGCCCAAGGCTCCTGGCAGCCTTCAAAAGGCCTCCCCCATAGGCTGGGGAGGTAGTAGGCTTAGTCACCACTTTCACCACACCTCACCTTTGGACCCTC